TGTAATAACCGCGATCACCGAATAACCGACACTATTATTTATATTATTATATATATATATATATATATATATATATATATATATATATATATATATATATATATATATATATATATATATATATATATATAACTAAAAAAATGGCGGGCTAGCCCGCCAACCCGTCAGCCCGCCCCGCCAAGCCCGCGGGCTAGGCGGGGCGGGCAAAAATGTCCGTTTTTAAAACGGGCTTCAAAAACACGAGCCCACCCCGTCTTTTTGGCGGGCGGGGCGAGAAAGCCTGGCGGGCTAAGCCCATTTTGATGGCTCTGTGTGCAGTTATTGCTTCCCGTGCGGTCGTGCCGACATGCCAGAGCCGTATGATGATCTGAGCTCAAACGAATGGAAATCAATGAAGAGGAGAAAATAAATTGTGGTTATTTTGTAATTTCATGTAACATGTATATTTCGGTGGTGCAGTACGTGTTAACGAATGGAAATCAATGAAGAGGAGAAAATAAGTTGTGGCAATTTCATAATTTCACGCAACATGTATATTTTGGCGGTGCAATACATGTTAGTGTGCAGTATGAATGGAAATCAATGAAGAGGAGAAAATAAGTTGTGGCAATTTCGTAATTTCATGCAACATGTATTTTTGGCGGTGCAATACATGTTAGTGTGTGGTACGAATGGAAATCAATGAAGAGGAGAAAATAAATTGTGGCAATTTCGTAATTTCATGCAACATGTATATTTCGGTGGTGCAATACATATTAGTGTGTGGTACGAATGGAAATCAATGAAGAGGAGAAAATAAATTGTGGCAATTTCGTAATTTCATGCAACATGTATATTTCGGTGGTGCAATACGTGTTAACGAATGGGAATCAATGAAGAGGAGAAAATAAATTGTGGCAATTTCGTAATTTCATGCAACATGTATATTTCGGTGGTGCAATACGTGTTAACGAATGAGAATCAATGAAGAGGAGAAAATAAGTTGTGGCAATTTCATAATTTGACATGTTAGTATGTGGTGCACTTGATCTGTAATAGAGAGTAGTGCAACACGACTCTTACAAAGGAATAAGGGGATACCCCAAATCTACGCTTACACCAATGCTCAAACCCTAAACCTCCTAGGTAAGAAAACAATCGGATACCAATGGACCACAAAGACCTTAGTACCCAACTAGTCTATATATATATATATATATATATATATATATATATATAAACAAGTGAACAACAGAGCACTCTAAAAAATAAAAAAGAATTGTTCGAAATGTCGAATGTTGTTGGCAAAACTGACCGGAAACCCGGCGACTGGCAGACAGCAGTCCCGGCCCCATATGTATGATTGTACAAACAATGAATGTATCCTCCATTAGTGGGGAATTTATGAATTTCAGATAACGGGTGAGTGTCACATCCAACTTATAATAATTTTGATTTTAGTACACACAGATATGCAAAAATTTCAATGCTCGTGACCCGTCGTGTGTTATAAATATGTGTACTGTCCAGGAAAAAGTATTTAAATATTTGTCCATATATCTCAATCAGCCACATAAAATAGTAAATAATCCAACCAAACATTTCACGACATTAATTACTGTAATAAGGTAACTAATGGAAATATAGTTTCTAAACTTAATTAGGTCCTACAGCAATCAAAGATAAGTTCAAGACTAATTAAAGTATGACACGGCAGTGCGTGAGCAATCTCTCAAAGTGAGGGGCTCCTTGTGCTCAGTAAGCACATGTTTAGTTTTTGTGTTCATCTGAGTTATCATGATTTACATCATCTTAGATGCTCTGTTGAATCGGTGCCTGAGGGGCCATTGGGGTTGGGGATTAAACCTTTTGGAAACAACAAGAATAATTAAAGTATGTGAATCACTGCCAATTACTATGTAGTATAATAACACTTTATTACTATTCCAAATGAGTAATCACTATGTAGTATGTATTGTGATGACACTTTATCACTATTCCAAATAAATGATTACATGATAAAAAAAGCATGGAAATCACTATAAGCTCAACAAATTTTACTTTTGGAAGATGTTTAATTCTTGTTATCTAACATATTTTTTTTAAAGTAATGTAACATTAGAATATATATATATATATATATATATATATATATATATATATAGAATAAAGTTCAAATGCGGCGGGGTCTTCCCGTGCGGCGGTGCGACGAAATTTCAGAATACACCAACAGTGTTAACAATATGCACCAACAATGTAATAAAAGCACACCACAATGAAATGCAATAAAACATCACAAAATACACAACAGACTCAAAAAAAAATACACCATATAACTCACCACCCCCAATGGTGTATGTCCGAACAGTGTATGGTGTTTTTACTCACACCTAATGGTGTGTGTTTGGTGATGCAGGGCTCTGTTTACTCTGTTTTGTGCTCTGTATTTTCCTAACGTTGATAGTGCATATTTGTTGAACTATTGGTGTTGCCGCACCGTAAGAAATCGCCGCAAGACACTGCCACACCTGAACTCGCCTATATATATATATATATATATATATATATATATATATATATAATAGGCGTTCAATTACCTTTATGTTACATTTCAAAGGAATATTACTTGTGTACGTGTCACATTAATATGCTATCTTCACTTCTCTAAAGTTTTGCAAGAGTATAAAAACTATATTATACTCTCATGCCTCATTTTATCTGTCATACTTACTATTTATTGGTCAAACTAATTTCTTCTTTGTTTATTTTCTTTAGTATTTTTTACTCATTTTTAAATTTAATTTTTTGTGTTTGATAGTACTTTTAGTGTAATTTTTAAATATATAAATTGTGTATACTAACATTAAACTTAATACTATGAAAATTTAAATTAAAAATAACTCAAGACAAACCTCGGTAATCGAACCAGACACATATAATGGGACGGAGGGAGTAACATTGTTTTTTCTACTTTGCCCTTCAAAAAGATCCTACTAAAAGAAGAGAAGCATGATACTGGGATAACCCTAGCAAAGATGACTAATGATACAAACTTGTAATTGTAAGATCACAAGTTCAAATTCTAGCTTTCTTGATTTGAGTCGGTCAACTATAGGTCTAAACTGGTAACAGAATTTACTTAATACATATCCTCAGATAGTAACTATGACTCTCTGAGTTTCCTTCGTCACCCGATACGGAAAGCATGGTATAAGATTCCTCGAAACAAGCGCTTCACAGAAAACATCATCACACATTTAATGACAAGTAGTACACATTTTTCTCAATAAAGTTTCGTAAAATGTGAGTACATACTACTTCTTTTTTTTTTTTTTTTTTTTTTTTTTTTTTTTTTTTTTTTGAGGATAGTACATAATATATTTTGTGTTTTAACCATAACACTTAAAAAATTAATTAATCAATCAACAAATGTTTATTACACTAATAATTGAAACGATAGAAACGTACATGTAACACGAGAGAAGTTTATTTGAAATATAATTAATTATTTTTTGCCTATGAACTTTCAAGTAAAGTTCAGTAGACTAATAATTGGATGGTGATGAAGTATGATGAGTATCTTTTGCTTAATTAGTCACGACAATTGAAACGTTTATTAATTAATTAGGTAGTGTAATTGTGGAATGGATTGAAAAAAAACATATCATCTTTGACGTTTTTTTCTTAAATTAAATTTTTAAAGAAAAAATTGAAATTGAATTGCGTAAGGCATGTGGGAGTGAAGAAAAGCAGGTTGCGTATGTAGACTAAAAAACAATTCAAAGTCCAAAGAAGAGAATACATATATTAGCTAAGCATTTTCCAACAAAGTGTGTCCTCACTCCTCACATGGTATAAAGTTAAAAAAATAAAAAATAAAAAAACAACTTTTGGGAAAAATAAAGTTAACTTTTACTTTGAGAAGGTATGCAATTATTAAAGCAATCGATTATTCTGTGTATTGTCATCAAAAGTAAAAATTTACATTGTTACAAGGTTGAATCCCAACTCGAAGCTAAGGGCCCCACGTCTCAGTCTGACAGAGCATCTGAGAGAATATAAATAATGGTAACTTGGTTGAACACAGAGACTAAACCTTTACTTTGAGAGATTGCTCCACACTGTCGCTGGTGAGACTCGATCCCGAATCATTGTTTAAAGTAAAAGTTAACATGTAGTAAGTATTGAGAGAGCTTTTGAAAATAAATAATTTCTTTTAAATTCAATTTAGAAAAATATGTGCCAACATTATGTCTCGATTGCATGATGCCCAATAATTCACGTACCCTAATACTAATTGTCGGGATCAAACCCCACATACTAGCAGTCAGCGTTACGTTAGGTTTTAATTAATAGCAAAATGTTGGATTCCTCCAAACCTCTACTTAATAATATATATACAATGGGTCATAGAGGTGAAAGTTTGGAAGAATGACCAGGGATCGAGTCTCACCCGCGGCAGTGTGGGAGCAACCTCTCAAAGTGAGGGGGGTTCCTTGGACGCAGTGAGCAAAGGTCTAGCCTCTGTGGTTCATGTTCAGTTGAGTTACCATGATTTACATCCTCCCAAATGTTCTGTCGGGTCGGGGTTGAGGTTCTTCCTTTTGGAAGAATAATATATATACAATGGGAACAATAATATATATACAAGAACTCGATCTGATTTGGAGTTTGAAAAAAATTATTTATATACAGTTTTTTTTTTTTAAAGGGAAAAAGTAACTTTATATACATAGTATTATGAATTCTGCTTTAAAAAATTATGTGGGGTACGGTTTGTATGAATACTTTTCATAAAAGTGATGAATATTGAGTTTAAATGTGTTATGAACATTGTACTAGTTAACATTTACTATTAAAAATTTTGTACCATTTAATGTGACTCCCCTTTGCTCATAATGGGGCGTTAAAATGTTTAATTACATTCTTAATTAGTCGTTTTGATTGTTAAGGTAGGTCTGAAGAAAGTACGATGAAAAATAAATTTAAAAGAAAGAAATTAAATTGCAAATAGAAACACATTATGTATAATTATTGTAGTGTATAGTTTTGATGGCACAAAGCACGAAAGAGTACAAAAGAAATATCTGACCATATATTATAACAAATTCAAATTGAATCAAACAAGCACATCCCTATACAGGAGAGGAATAAATTATGCTAATTATTTGGAATTGCTATTAAATAAGAAATTCAACAAACCACTCCCACGTGATGACACAAGAAACAAAACGTGCAAGAAAGCCACTAGAGAAGAAGAAGCCAACTGGTCCAATGTGTAGGGCAATGAGCTTTGAAGTTCAATATTCAAGACCTTATTATTGAATAAATTAAATGCCTCATCTGATTGTTCTTTGATTCTTCGCCTCTTGAAGCCTCCACTTATTGCTGCCACTAAACCGAAATCTGCAGAATTGAGAAGAATGCAAATGTAATTAGAGAACTATTGGAATGTTGATAATCTGAATTACAGTAATATAGTGTAATAAGAGTAATTAATATATATAAGTGTGTAACTTACATGACTGATCATGGAGAGTGGTTGAGGTTTGGTTGTTTAGTAGTGTGTTGGTGGTGGTGGAGAAGCATAAATGTACACAGGTGGAGGAGGAGACTTCACCGGTGGTGGAGGTGAAGTGTAGTGGTATGGTGGAGGAGGAGACTTCACCGGTGGGGGAGGTGAAGTGTAGTGGTATGGTGGGGGAGGTGATGGTGATGGTGGAGGAGGGGAGTGGTAATAGTAGGGAGGAGGAGGAGATGGAGATGGTGGTGGTGGAGATTTGTAGTAATAAGGTGGTGGAGGAGACGGCGAAGGTGGAGGAGGGGACTTGTAGTAGTAAGGTGGTGGAGGAGACGGCGAAGGTGGAGGTGGTGATTTGTAGTAGTATGGTGGTGGAGGTGATGGGGATGGTGGAGGTGGAGACTTGTAGTAATAGGGTGGTGGAGGTGAAGGTGATGGTGGAGGTGGTGACTTGTAGTAGTAAGGTGGTGGAGGTGATGGGGATGGTGGAGGTGGAGACTTGTAGTAGTAGGGTGGAGGAGGAGAAGGTGACGGTGGAGGTGGGGACTTGTAGTAGTAAGGTGGGGGAGGTGATGGAGATGGTGGTGGTGGGGACTTGTAATAGTAGGGTGGAGGAGGTGATGGGGATGGTGGTGGTGGGGACTTGTAGTAGTAGGGAGGAGGAGGTGATGGGGATGGTGGAGGTGGAGACTTGTAGTAGTATGGTGGAGGAGGTGATGGGGATGGTGGTGGTGGAGATTTGTAGTAGTAGGGTGGAGGAGGGGATGGTGATGGTGGAGGTGGTGACTTGTAGTAGTAAGGTGGGGGAGGTGATGGGGATGGTGGAGGTGGAGACTTGTAGTAGTAAGGTGGTGGTGGTGATGGAGATGGTGGAGGTGGAGACTTGTAGTAGTAGGGTGGAGGAGGTGATGGTGATGGTGGAGGTGGGGACTTGTAGTAGTATGGAGGAGGCGGTGATGGTGATGGTGGAGGAGGGGACTTGTAGTAGTAAGGTGGTGGAGGTGATGGGGATGGTGGTGGTGGAGATTTGTAATAGTAAGGTGGTGGGGGAGATGGTGAGGGTGGTGGTGGAGATTTATAATAGTAGGGAGGATGGGGTTTTGGTGATGGTGGTGGAGGAGACTTGTAATAATAGTGTGGTGCAGGTGTGGGTGAAGGTGGTGGTGGAGACTTATAGTAGTAAACCGGTGCAGGTTTAGGTGATGGAGGTGGGGGTGACTTGTAGTAGTAAACTGGTGCAGGTTTTGGTGATGGGGGTGGGGGTGATTTGTAGTAGTAAACCGGTGCAGGTTTAGGTGATGGGGGTGGCGGTGACTTGTAGTAGTAAACCGGTGCAGGTTTAGGTGATGGGGGTGGCGGTGACTTGTAGTAGTAAACCGGTGCAGGTTTAGGTGATGGGGGTGGCGGTGACTTGTAGTAGTAAACCGGTGGAGGTTTTGGTGATGGGGGTGGCGGTGACTTGTAAACGTAAGGTGGGTGAGGATGAGTTGGTGTTGGCGGGGGTGGAGACTTGTAATAATAAGCAGGTGGTGGCGGGGATTTGTAAACATAAGTGGGAGATGGTGGGGGAGGAGACTTGTAGTAGTAAGGCGTAGGGGTTGGCTTAGGCTTTGGCTTCTCACACTCTTCATAAGGAGTCTTTGGGGCATAAGCAAACGGTTTCGCATAAAGAACAACTTCATTTTCGGTCTTTGACTTCACTTTGAGCTTAGCACCCTTAATACCCCAATGAAGATTTGTGGGGATGCTGCATTTAGAGTGCTTTGGTGGTGCATGAAGCTTGGCCTTGCATGCATTTGCTCCATATTTTCCATACTCAAAACCTTCAACAGTCACACTAAATTTGCCATTAATTTTGGTTGTTCCATATGCCTTAATTTTCTTCTCACCAGCCTGGCAAGTTACCTCAACAACAGCACCTGCTCCATATATATTTTAACAAAATTATTAATCCATATAACCAAATGAGGGAAAATAAAAATCACTATAAATACTCAAATTCTAGGTATTTTATTTATTTAATTTAATTATTAATTTAGAAGAATATTCCTGCCATCTCATCAGAATGTCACCATCCAATACGATTAATTTAATGTGGTTAGTGGTTACATTAACTAATCTTGTACTGGTCAGTTTATGTTCATTTACAGCAATTAAGGATTAAGCTAACACAAGTCTTATGTTTAATTATTAGCTTTGAAAATCGTAAAGCTTATTTCTTTGCCAGCGAAGACCGTTTGTACATATTATAAAATTTGTTTTCATCAATAATTAACTAAATAATTGCATTCAAAAAAAAAAAAAAAACTAAATAATTAATCTTTAATCAGTCGAATCTTAACTTTAAAAAAAATAAATTTCAGATGTTTAAAACAAATACTAATAATATATTAACACTTAATCTAATTAATCTTCCACGTTTTTTTTTTTTTTTGTTTTTGTCTTTTCTCTCTTTTATTAAGTCTGTATATATGTATTTGGTGGAGGGTATTTTTGTAAAAACCAGAAACCATAAGCTAAATTGAGGGACATGCATGATTAGAAAGAAACAGAGAAATACTGTTAAGGAATTATGAATTGTTTTTACCTTTGAGATGTTTCTTGTCGTGGGATTTCTCTGGCTTTTCCCAATCATAGCACCTGAAGCAGTAAACTTTTCCGACAACCTTGACAATGAGGTGGTGATGGGGAGGATAGTAATGGGTAGGTGGTGGTGGGGAGGTGTAGTAATATGGTGGAGGAGGAGATTTAACCGGCGGTGGTGGAGAGTTGTAGTAGTATGGTGGAGGGGGAGATTTAACTGGTGGTGGGGGAGAGTGGTAGTAGTATGGTGGAGGAGGTGACTTCTTTGGTGGTGGTGGAGAGTTGTAGTAGTATGGAGGAGGAGGAGATTTCACCGGTGGTGGTGGGGAGTGGTAGTAGTACGGTGGTGGAGGAGATTTAACTGGTGGTGGTGGAGAATGGTAGTAGTATGGTGGAGGAGGAGACTTCTTTGGCGGTGGTGGAGAATTGTAGTAGTATGGTGGAGGAGGAGACTTCTTTGGTGGTGGTGGAGAATTGTAGTAGTATGGAGGGGGAGGAGATTTAACTGGTGGTGGTGGAGAGTTGTAGTAGTATGGGGGAGGAGGAGATTTGACTGGTGGTGGTGGAGAGTGGTAGTAGTATGGTGGAGGAGGAGATTTAACTGGTGGTGGTGGAGAATGGTAGTAGTATGGTGGTGGTGGAGATTTCTTGGGAGGAGGTGGAGAATTGTAGTAGTACGGAGGAGGAGGAGATTTCACTGGTGGTGGTGGAGAATGGTAGTAGTATGGAGGAGGAGGAGACTTCTTAGGTGGTGGTGGAGAATTGTAGTAGTATGGTGGAGGAGGAGACTTCTTTGGTGGTGGTGGAGAGTGGTAGTAGTATGGTGGAGGAGGAGAAGGAGAGGGTGGTGGAGGAGACTTGTAGTAATAAGGTGGTGGGGGAGAGGGTGAAGGGGGAGGGGGAGATTTGTAATAATAAGGCGGTGGAGGTGATGGAGACGGTGGAGGAGGAGATTTATAGTAGTAAGGTGGAGGTGGAGATGGGGAAGGTGGGGGAGGAGACTTATACTCATAAGGCGGAGGTGGTGAAGGTGACGGTGGTGGTGGAGACTTGTAGTAATACGGCGGTGGCGGAGAGGGAGAAGGTGGCGGGGGAGATTTGTACTCGTAAGGTGGCGGAGGTGAAGGAGATGGTGGCGGGGGAGACTTATACTCATAAGGCGGGGGCGGTGAAGGTGACGGAGGGGGAGGAGACTTATACTCGTAAGGCGGAGGAGGTGAAGAGTAAACATAAGGATCATTGCCGGAGACCACACTCGCAGCAGCCAATACAACCAATGCCACTAACATTTGTGGCAAAAGACGACCCCTCCGGGGGCCGCCGCCGTGACCAACCATTTTCACCGGCCGGAAAAGGCTCCACCAATGCCGGCTGTACCAATGAGACCAAATATATATAAAACTTTGAATACCAAAATTATCTACAGACCTATAAAAGTTTGTGTTCTCTCAGTTGAGAGGTGATGAAGAGGCAATGAATCCCCAAACCATTTATAGTGCAAATTTTGTTCCAATAGTCGTTGGAGTGGAGCTGTCAATTTGGGACCAATTCAATTAATCAAACTAGTACTATAATATTTTCTTTTTCTTTTTAAGAAAACAATACAAAGACAATTCGAACATATAAATTCATATAATTCTAAATAACAGCTGGACAAGCCCAATATTTAAACACCATATCTGGGTCACTTTGAAATTTTCTTTGTATTTTTTTGTACCAGCTAATTACCTGCTCCTTTAATTAAATATAATTAAATAAACTTAATACCATCAACTAGATGCATGACACAACATGGGTGCATGCTACGTAATACCTAGCTTGCAATTTCTTCAATTTTATATATAACTAATTAACCTACCAATCATAGTTAGTGAGATTATGCAACATTTTTTGTTAAAAAAAAAAAAAAAAACCCTATTCGGACCAATAGTGACAAATATAACAACCATTTGTATTTAGTGGCTATATATTCATGAACTAGTTCACTGATTGAGTCTATCACGAATTGATCGGAAAAGAGTTAATATCATCTGGTGTCCTTCGAGTATAATAGTTTTACCATGGTTTTTTGACTTTCAATTTGTTATTATTTGTGGTCTAAATTAATCATCTATGGTCTTTCAACTATCAAATTTTAACCACTCATGGTCCTTCCCGGAGGACCACGGCTGGTTAAATTTTGAAAGTTGAAGGACCACGGGTGGTTAACTTGGACCACGGAGGGTAACAATTTGAATGTCAAAGGACCACATGTGGTCAATTTGAAAGTTTAGGACTAAACGTGGCAAAACCACTATACTCGGAGGACCACATATGGTATTAACTCGATTAGAAAAATTACGCCAAATTATACAAATATTTAGCATAAATAATTTATGGTGTATGTGTTTGGTCGAACATGAGAATCAGAATCGGAAAGCGAATCAAATACTTGGTAATTGGAAGGGTTCTAGTAAAAATATTTTGAATGTTTGGTAGTAGGCTAAAATTTGAATGATTACTAATATTGTTGTTTGGTTATATATGACCCTATAATTGGATTAAAGATTTTAAAAACAAAAATAAAAAATCAAGGTAATTGATCCAATATGATGACATCCAAAGCACCAATATGAATAAAAAATCAAAACAAAAATCTAAAAGCTATAATCCTATGTAGTAAGGAGACGATGAAATGAGGAGGGATAAGGCTGAATCAATGGAATGATATATACTTGATTTAAATTAGGTAACGAGTTCTTTTAATTCCTATACATTTTTTTTAAAAAAGTTGTCAACCAAATAATATGCATGACTTCATTCTTATATTTTGTGTCTAGCCCCATGAACCAAACACCCCCTTAGCCTATGTAAAATGACATTACTTGATCACTTTTTTTTTTTTTAATTTAAATATTTTGATTCCTACTCTAATAGCTTGAAAGAAACTAGGTAACAACTTTGTTGCTTTTTTGATTTGTATGAATGGGTGCAATTCAATACAAAGTACGACTAAATGAACATACATATAGTTGGCAATGAAGAATACTGGAAACTGGGTAGGCTGCTTAAATAGCTTGTAATTCTGGAAATAAATGGGTGCCCTTTCACATACACATCTTTGTCAAGGTACACAAACCAAAATATGACAAAAATTACATGTGTTTATTATTATATATTATATAGCCATAGGGATTAGAGAGAGAATACAATATTGGGGTTTGAATTTTGTTCCGTAATAGATATGTATATACTAACTTAACTTGTTTTTGTACAGCTGGGAGGGGAAAATCCAGATAATGCATTCTAATTGTTCATTTTATTAGTTTTCACAACTCAAGAATCAAGATGATGCTATCCAAGAGTTATTTATATGATTAATTTGCAAAATTTTTTTTTTAAGACGTGCGTATAGAGATGCTCGTTTGGATAGTTTAATTTTGAGTTAATTTCATTTTATCAGTCCATTTTTAATCTTTTTTTTTTCTTTTCAAAATATTCTCGTTTGATTCTAGTATTATTGTGATATGACCATTTTTTGTCATCTGATAACAAAATCATTTAAATGATATTAAATACAACGGCATTTTGATCTATTCAGTTCTAAGTGTTAAGTCCTTTCCCCCCTTTTTAGTCCTAGATTTATGTGTCATTCTATTTTTAGTCCTTTATTTTTTTTTTTTTCAAAACATCTCTGTTGGTCTTAACATTATTGCGGCATAACCATTTTTGGTTCTCTGTCAACAAATATATTTAAATGACATTAAAAATGACGTTATTAACCACTCAAATTAAAATCTTATTTTTTCTTCTTGGTAATAGAACCACAAGTCTTGTGAATTTTTATGAATTAGACTTATGCACGTACTAGACTTAAGGTTTGTCATGGAGTAAACTTGTGGTTTTTTCAATTGCACTATTTTAGATTTTACAATAGACTTATGTATCGATAATAGTTTTATTACAGGAAGAAAAAACAATGAGAATTTTGAGTGGTTAATAATGTCATTTAAACATATTTGTTGACGGAAAACAAAAAATGTCATACCACAGTAATGCTAGGACATATATATATATATATATATATATATATATATATATATATATATATATATATATATATATATATATATATATATAGAAATGATCATTTTCACGCTATTTTTCGTGTCACAGAAACTATATTCTATAAATAGGAAAGGTGCCCCCAGTGGGGCGTGGGAGCATACATGCAAAGATAATGGGTGGTGAGTGGGTGACTTGCCAGGATAACTAACATATATTCAATCAGTATATTGTCAAAATGAAGTACAAATTATACAACTAATTTTTTTTGATTTTATTTTTTTTAGAAAAAATAGTAATTTTTGATAGATATTTATGTAAAATAGCAATTTCAATAACCCCTCAATTGTTAATATGTTGCATTATTGATTTTCTAATTTTTCATCATAATGTGATTATTTTCGTCCCTCTTTTTATAAGGTGACAATTTTGATATATTATTTTTGTTAATCAACATGTTAATTAGAAAATATCACGGTTTAATTCGAACCGAACTGAACAAAGTAGAGTTGCACTCTAAATGAGAACTATATAGGCGATCCTAGTTTTACGTTCTTAAATATACTCCATCTGTCCCATTTTATCTGCCTTGTTTACTATTAATTGGTAAAACTAAATTTTTTTTCTTCACTTATTTTTTTAGTATTTTTTAATTATTTTTAAATTTAAATTTTTATTTTTAATAGTACTTTTAATGTGGTTTCTAAATATATTAATTTTATATATTAATAATACTAAATTTAATATTATAAAAATTAAATTAAAAATAACTTCAGTCAAACATTATTAACTGAACGAGAAACAAAAAGAAAAAAGGACAGGAGGAGTATGATTAAGAACTGTAGGTTCTAATTAAAAACTGGAAAAAAATAAAAATAATCTTTTTTACTTAACTTAATCATGGTAAAATTAAGTGTTTGTCGTCATCATCATCATCAACAACAACAACAACAACAACAACAACAACAACAACAACAACAACAACAACAACAACAACAACAATAATAATAATAATAATAATAATAATAATAATAATAATAATAATTATTATTATTATTATTATTATTATTATTATTATTATTTGTTTAACTTATATTCTAAATATTTGATCTAAAGTTGTTTTATAATTTTTTAAAAAAAAAAACTCTTGAAATATTGAACGTGTATAATTTAGAAATAGAAATTGAAAAAATAAAAAATTTGAGGTTCAAACTAGAAGTGAACCTTTTATAAAAGATTCCAATTTTGGTTCTTTGAAACGTTAAATTTTGAATTGGCTGTTTGGAACTAAAACCGAACTACCGTAAACTCTAATGTTAACAGAGATTTGGCAATTATTTAAGAATACAAATTATAATTTTGTTCCTATATTGACTAAACGGCTTTATATGTACAATGCAAAGATAGATGACACATTTTAACTGTTTCTAGTGGCGAGGAAACAAAATTGCTACCTTATAATAAAAAAAAATTGAAAGATCAATAATTACTCACAACAATAATTAAGGGAATATAACCATTATGTCATATATGTATATATGAAAAATATAGTTTCACTTTTTGTTTTGTGATTTTCATGTTTTAATTTTAATGAGAAATGGAGGCCGGTGCTTATTTTACGAATGTCAACCGTAGGTAGTCAACTAATGAATTTTTATATATTTCAATGTATAAGTGGGCACATGCATTGGCCTGCTACAGATTATGGATGATACCCAATCTCTGGTCTACTCCATGATTAACTAGGAATATTTTATGGGTTGTTTCATAAATTTTTGTACTAATTGAAACATGCTTTTTACCCTGGTTCAAAAAATATTAAATTGCCTTAAAAAATGTTTTATTGTTAGAAATGTTAGATTATTACTGAGAATGTTCGCAAATTATGCTGTGCAACCGAATGCACCATGCACATGGTGCATATGATGCAAAACGACGTCGTTTTGGTTAAAAAACGCGCGTCCCACTTAAAAAAGAAATCAGGTTCGATTCCCGGCAATAGCATTTTTATATATCCATAAATTCATAACTATATATCTATAAATTCATAACTATATATCCACAAAGTCATAACTATATATCCACAGTGAATGAATGAAGTAAAAATCCACAATGAAGGAACTAAATATCCACAATGATTGAACTAAATATCCACAATGAATGAACTAAATATCCATAAATTCATAACTATATATCCAGAAATTCATAACTATATATCCATAAATTCATAAATCATAACTATATATCCACAGTGAATGAATGAAGTAAATATCTACAATGAATGAACTAAATATCCACAATGAATGAACTAATTATCCATAAATTCATAACTATATATCCAGAAATTCATAACTATATATCCAGAAATTCATAACTATATATCCACAATAATGCTATTGCCGAGAATCGAACCTGAATTTTTTTTTTTAAGTGGGACGCGCGTTTTTAGTCAAAACGATGTCGTTTTGCATCGTATGCACCATGCGCATGGTGCATTCGGTTGCATAGCATAACTATTAGAGAATGTTAGACTCTTGTGTTTGATTAAAATTGAGATATGTAATATTAACATATTTGGTTTAGGGATTATCTTTTATGTTATAATTTTTTAACTTTAGTACTCTTAACATATTTTCATGTATTTCAATAAATTTTAAAATTAAAATAAATATATAAGAAAATTGTATCATATATAAGTACATTTTTTTTTTGGAAAGCTATCATATATAAGTACATGATTTAAAAAGAATTAACTAAGAATTTGAACTTGATAAACAAAATTACTTTATAAGCTAACATAACACAATTAAAAAATAAAATAAAATATATAATTACAAAAATAATTAAATATGATACATATAATAAGCTAACATAAAAATATATATATTTTATAATAATTAGAACTAAAAGGGCAAAATTTGTAAATATGAATGGTAATTTTAGATAAATAATCCAATGTGGAGGGTATGGTGTATTCCTTAGGAATATTATATTCCTTTAGGAAAGTAAGATACCTTGGACAAAACATGAAAATGTAAGTTTTGAGATGCTACATTATCTTAATTAGTTATGTTGTATAACTTGAACCAAACAACCCCTTAAAGTTTTTGTCTCCTAATGTGGTTAGAATATTGGGTAAGTGTTCATGAATTGATTGACCTCACAAACTTATAATGAAAGATTGATGTATTCAATCAAATAGTGTCATGTCAGGAGAAGAAGAAATTATTAGCGAAAAATTAATTAATTTTGAAAAGGTGAATAGTATTATTAATATTAATTTATTTAGGGAGAAGTGTCAAATAGGCCCATCTACTACGGTCAAAGTGCTCAATTCTCACCACGAACTAAACTAAAGGCTAATTAACCCTACTTACCTGCTAAATTTGTTCAATTAATTTTTTTTGCAGGTTGCTAACAGGTTACCAATCTAATTATTAAAAAACTAATTTAAAAATAATTTAAAAATTAAAAAAAAAAAGGAATTTCATAGCCAATGCAAGTCCGCTGCCATGGCCGAAGAACGCTCCTGATCTCTCTTTTTTTGTTCGTAATTGTTGTTGACTACAGAGGGGAAAACAATTAATTGTGGCTAAAAAGTCATTAGGCTTAATGGACTAGTTAAATAATATTAACTTAGGATAAAACAAAAAAAAAACTAAAAATAATAATAAAAGTCATTAGGCTTGTGATAATTGGATTGGTAACCTGTTAGCAACCTGCAAAAAAAGTCAATTGAACAAATTTAGCAGGTAAGTGTCGTTAATTAGCCTTTAATTTAATTCGTGGTGGGAATTGAGCACTTAGCAATAGTAGATGGGTCAATTTGACACTTCTCCCTTTTTTACAATAAGTTTTTGTTTTTGTTTGGTTAAAGTACCTGTTAGGTCCCTGTACTATAGCATTTTGTTCATTTTAGTCCCTGTATCTTTATTTTGTTCAATCCAATCCTTGTACTTTAAAATTTAGAATAATTAAGGACAAAATTTAACACCATTTAGTTTGCCCACATGGCGTTCGATTTGCCATGTCAGATTTTGTCCAAAAATAATATTGTTTTATGCCACACCACAAAAGTTGACATGGCAATACCATATCACAAAATTTGACATGGCAAATCGAACGCCACGTGAGCAAACTTAACGGAAAAAATAAACGGTGTTAACTTTTGTCCTTAATTGTTCTAAATTTTAAAGTACAGGGATTGAATTGAACAAAATTAAGATACAAGGACTAAAATGAACAAAACGCTACAATACAAGGACCTAGCAAGTACTTTGACTTTTTTTTTTTTTTTTTTTTTTTTTTTGGTTGATTTGATAGAATCGATGATTTGCCTTTTACTAGTCATCATTTACCACTCTTAGATAAAAAAGACTTTTCTTACCTTTGGTTTTGTAAGTTTTTAAAAGGGTAAAAAGAAAAATGAAAACGTCTTTTACATCACTTGGGTATGTAATGATGATGATTATAGAAAGTGATCAAACAGACAACAAACAATCAAGCAACTCAAATGAATGTATTGATACCAATGAGATATTTATGAAAAAGCTCGTAAAGAGAATTCAGTTCTCAAGTGGTAGATTATAAGTAATGATACATAATTAAATTTTGACAATCACAATATAAGAGTTACACTAATTAAGTACATGTCCTTTCACTTTAGAGATGCATGGGTCTATCTGATTTACTCTATTAAGGATATATGAGGCTCACATTTGTTATCTATGTTTTTGTTATATTTTAGCTCTTGTTGAATAGTTGTATGATATATTAGTAGTTATAACTTCCTTCTATCTTTCATTCTCTGTACACTATTTATAGCTGCCTGAGTTTGCAGTAGTTAATTCATTCAGTTCTATAAACTCTATATGGTATCAAGATCCTGAAATCTCCTTCCTAATCAATGGCTTCCACCAACACTAATAAGATCATCCAGCTGAATGCTCCCACTCACTTTCCTATCAAACTCACCACCACCAACTTCCCAGTTTGGCGCCGGCAGGTTCATGCCACCCTTGTTGGCCTCAATCTCCTGGGCTACGTTAAAGGTTCCACCAACGAACCGGCTAAATTCTCAGACGATGCTCAATCCGTCCCCAATCCTGATCACTTAATTTGGTACCGTCAAGACCAAATTATTGTTAGTGCACTTCTAGGAAGCTGTACTGATACAATCCAGCCGCTCATCTCGTCGGCCACGACGGCTCATGATGCGTGGCAACGCTCGTTGCAGGTTATGCTAGTGCCTCCCGATGACGGATTATCTCCCTCAAGGCAAAGCTAACCAGAAACCCGAGAGGCTCTCGGTCTATTTCAACATATCTTAATGACATGCGAGCCATAGCTGACGATCTTGCCTTGGCTCAGTGTCCGGTGTCTGATGAAGATTTGCTCGTGTACATCCTGACTCAGCTAGGAGAGGAGTACAACTCCATTATTTCTGCGGTTCGTGTTCGTGAGAAACCCCTTTCATTGGGTGAGTTAGCCGATGTCCTAACTGACTATGAACGTCAGTTGAAGGACGCAGACGATTCCCGCCAGTTGTTATTGGCAACTGCTAATGCCACTCAGCGGACCTCGTCTCCTCGGAACAACCGGCAACGAAATACCACTCGTACTGTTCGTAACAACACAAGCAACTATACGAAGCCAACCGATCGACTTGGCAACAAGGGGGGACTACTCGGTCAGCTGTTATCTGTAAGTTCTGTAACTTCGCAGGTCATGAAACAAAGGTCTGCCGAAAGCTTGCTAGGTTCCTAAAAGAGCATAATGTTCTCCCCGCACAGACTTCGTCTACAGTCCAGTCCTCGCCGGCATCTCCACCCTGGCTGTTTGACAGCGGTGCATCGCATCACGCCACCTCGAATCTCGCGTCACTACAAACACTCTCCGAGTACAGTGGGCCTGATGAGGTTCGCCTGGGTGACGATAATTCCCTTCAAATTTCTCATATTGGTCGATCTGTTATTCCTACTCTGTTTTCCGTCCTTGCCTTAGAGAATGTTTTGCATGTCCCTCAGTTACACACTAACTTGGTTTCCATATCTAAACTATGTCAGACTAATCACGTCTCTGTTGAATTTTTTGGCTCCCATTTTCTTGTTAAGGACCTTCGAACCGGGACTGTGTTGCTGAAATGAGTGAACAGTAATGGTATATACTATGGACCAGTTGCTCCGCACCCAACTGTACATGCTACGCAGTTGTCGTGTCTATCTCAGTGGCACCAACAGCTTGGCCATCCGTCTAATAAGGTGTTGCAACTTGTGTTGCAACGCTGTAATGTTCCAGTTTCTATGTCGTCTCTACAACAATTCTATTGTCCGTCCTGCAACATACATAAAAGTCATAAATTACCGTCCGCAAAAAATACTTTAGTTAGTACTAAACCTCTGCAATTAATCTATACTGATGTGTGGGGGCCAACTGAAAAATCTATTGACGAATTCCACTATTATGTAATCTTTGTAGATCATTTTTCAAAATACATTTGGCTATATCCCATGAAGCGTAAGTCGGATGTGTTTTCCGTATTTACTCAGTTCAAAAAATTAGTGGAAAAATTTCTTGTCCTTTCGATTATCTCCGTTTACTCAGACAATGGGGGAAGTTTATAAAACTTGTACCATTTCTAAATGATCATGGTATTTCTCATTTCACTACCCCACCACACACTCTTGAGCATAATGGTGTTGCAGAGCGACGGCACAGGCATGTCGTCGAAACCGGCTTGTCTCTTCTTCAAACTGCGTCCCTACCGTCCTCGTACTGGACCTTTGCCTTTCAGACGGCAGCCTATCTCATTAATCGACTTCCGACACCAGTTTTAGGTAATCAGTCTCCAGTTTATAAGCGAAAAATTAATTAATTTTGAAAAGGTGAATAGTATTATTGATATTAATTTATTTACAATAAGTTTTTGTTTTGTTTTGTTTTGTTTTTATTTTTTATTTTTTATTTTTTTTTATTATTACTTTGGTTGATTTGATAGAATCGATGATTTGCCTTTTACTAGTCATCATTTACCACTCTTAGATAAAAAAGACTTTTCTTACCTTTGGTTTTGTAAGTTTTTAAAAGGGTAAAAAGAAAAATGAAAACGTCATTTACATCATGATGATGATTATAGAAAGTGATCAAACAGACGACAAATAATCAAGCAACTCAAATGAATGTATTGATACCGATGAGATATTTATGAAAAAGCTCGTAAAGAGAATTCAATCAGGTCTCAAGTGGTAGATTGTAAGTAATGATACATAATTAAAGTTTGACAATCACAATATAAGAGTTACCCTAATTAAGTGCATGTCTTTTCACTTTAGAGATGTATGGGTCTATCTGATTTACTCATCCACCATTTAGGGCAAATTATTGTGTGGACCGTGGTTCACACAGTTGTGTGGACCACTGTAAAAACATCGTTGTGAATATTATGAGTAAAAATAATGTACATTATGTGTTAGAATAATGTACATTTTGTGTTAGAATAATGTACATTACGTGTTTGAATCATATACATTATGGCCTTGTTTAGTTATTGGCAGATCCGCCGTTTTCAGCGTTTTAACCATGTCAAAAAGCTGCGAACTTTGTTTGGTAAATGGCGGTTTGGAGCAGCAGCGGATTTGCTCCAAACCGCCAAAATCTGAAACGCTGCTTGTAGCAGCGTTTCAGATTGCCCAAAACGCCCTTAATTCTTTTTTTTTTTTTTTTTTAAATTTTTTTTTTATTTCATTAACAGAAGCCTGAGGTTTTTTTTTTCTTGCCCATCCGATGTGGGAATCGGATGGGCTGGAGTAAATAAGGGTGCGTTGAGCTCCCCTTTAAACGCCCCCTTTTGGTTTATATTTTGATGTGGGGTCAATAATTTTTTTTTAAATTTTATTATTATTATTACATCAGTTGTTTATCATCATCATCATCATCATTATTATTATTATACCCTTTTGGTCATTTTTCATGTTAACCGCTAATCTAAACAGTTAATTTTACCAAACATCTTTTTACAAACCGCTGATACAATATGCTGGTCAAACCCGCTAACACAATCTGTTATTCGTTAACCGCTAATACAATCCGGTAACCGCTAACCGCTGATTGCCAAACAAGCCCTATGTGTTATAATAATGTACATTACGTGTTAGAATAATGAAACATCCGAGTTAATATAATGTACATTATGTTTTAAAATAACGTACATTATTGTTTAGAATAATGTATATTATGTTTTAGAATAATGTACATTATGAGTTATAAAAAATATATGTTGTAGCTGGACATGCAAAAAAATAAAATTAAGCAAAACAACGTTATTTTTCGACCATAGTCCACACAGCTGCGTAGACCATAGTTCACGCAATAACTATTGCACCAATGCACCATTTAGGGCGTCGAGCTCTCAGGACAAGGAAATTTTGCCTTTGCACGCAAGATATTTACCTCCTAATTTTTCATTGGAAATTCCACCTTTGTGAGCAAGATATTTATGGAAGAGTAATTTTACCTTCTAATTTTTTTTACTTGTTTTATTGTTTATGTGATAATATTTGATTGGTTCATTTATATTTGATTAATAAGTAAATTCTTTTTATTAGATAGGATCAATGGATGAAAACAATTTATTATCATATCAAGCGATGAATATTTGGAGATAAAATTAAAAGCGAAAAATAGCATTACTCCTTATAGAATTAGTTAGCGTAGAAGGTGTAAGATTAAGATTTTAATTCACATGTAGAAGTTTTTTTTTTTTTTTTTTTTTTTTTTTTTTTAAATAATTGTTTATTATTAATAATTTGTTAACCTTTATGGGCTGTTTGGTTCACGGAATAGGTCTGGGATGGCATATGATTCTAAGTAATAGGCCTATTCCTCTGTTTGGTAACCACTTGTATTCCCAGGAACATTGTTCCCGAGAATGACTTATTCCCCTTGCAAGGGGAATAGGGGCCCCTTGGTATTAGGCTATTCCTGAGTTGAACTCAGGAATAGCCTAAAGTTTCTATTTCCTATTTTACCCCTCAATTAAATTTATTTCCTATTTCACCACCGTCACCACCACCACCGCCACCATCGCCGTCGCTACCACCACCCCAGCACCGCCATCAACATCACCACCACCACCACTGCCATCGCCGTCGCCGCCACCATCGTCGTCACCGCCACCGCCACCACTACCCCAACACCGTCACCACCGCCGCCGCCGCCACCACCATTACCCCCGTCGCCGCCGCCACCACCACCACCACCATCAGATATTTTTATACGGGTATTTATGTCTTTTAAAACATATTTCATTTCTATTCCTTAAATCAACCAAACACTGTAATATAATTCCTAAAGTTTATTCCTTCTGCGAACCAAACAATAGAATACAATTCATATTTTATTCCTTGTCTATTCCATTCCTTATTGAATAGCATTCCTATTATCTCAAAATTCATTCCGTGAACCAAACGTGCTGTTATTGTTTTGTATTAGTCAAATATTGTGCATTGTGCGATTAAATAAATACTCAATAAGAAAAAAATAAACACGTACAATTATGAAGAGATAATGATCACAGAAATAATTAACATATTTTTTTGAAACATAAATAATATATAAAAATAATAAAGAAGAAATATTAAATCACATATATTTTATATTTAATTATTTATGCAAGAAAGCAAACACTTATTATATGCTATTTAACTGTGTGAACAATTTAGATGAAAAAAAAGAATGATAAATTTGGAATTTAAAAAGAATTCAAAGAAAACAAGTATATAATATACTCCGTATAAGTTATCACAACAACAGTTGACACCATCATTTAAAAAAAAAATTTAAAATCTTACCACTATTGTTTTTTATAAACTTTTCATAGAGATTTGACGTGATTAATTATTTGTGACTTTAAGATATTAATTTTTTTTTTTGGCACTTAGAGTTTTCATCGTCGGACACATTGACCAATTCCCTCGCTAAATTGTAAACATCTTTTTTGAATGGGATAGTTGACCTGGAGATTTAAGGCTGCTCCATACCTAACGTGTTTAAGTATGCCTTAATCCCGCGGCCCATTTAATCATTGATTAGTTATTATCATTACAAGAGAACAATAAAATGCACACAAATTTAGTTACGGAGGTAAACCTACAGCTTAAAGTACTAGTTGCTCATAGGTATAGAACAAAATCGAGTGGCAGATTGTTTAGTTAAACGGGGATAGTTATGTTGTGCATCCGTATGCACCATACATGGTGCATACGGATGCAAAAACGACGTCGTTTTATTAAAAACGCGCGTTTCCCCTTAAAAAAAAAAAATTCAGGTTCGATTCCCAGCAACAACATTATGTTGTTCATTCATTCTGGAATTTTAGTTCATAGATTATGGAATTTTAGTTCATTGATTCTGAAATTATAGTTCATCGATTCTGGAATTGTAGTTCATCGATTCTGAAATTTTAGTTCATAGATTCTGGAATTTTAGTTCATTCATTCTGAAATTTTTAGTTCATAGATTAGATTATGGAATTATAAGTTCATCGATTATGGAATTATAGTTCATCGATTCTGGAATTTTAATTCATATGTTGTTGCTGGGAATCGAACCTGATTTTTTTTTTTTTTAAGGGGAGACGCGCGTTTTTAATAAAATGACGTCGTTTTTGCATTCGTATGCACCATGCATGGTGCATGGTGCATACGGATGCACAGCATAATTTGCCGTTAAACGGACCGTAAGACAAGACCATGGGACGAGAGTGCTTATTCAGTCGGAGATGGATATTCTTGGGTTGGTGTACAAAGACATTCTTGGAGTTCTTCAGGATTGTACTTTTCGAAGAATAGTTTAATTGGGTCCCCCTTCCTCCTGATGAAAAAAAAAAGCACATATAATTTTTAGTATTTTACCTACAAAAATATTTATTGATAAATTAAATATCATATATAAACAATTTTAATATTTTACCTACAAATTATTTTATTTTAATTCAAAATTTTATATATAAGTAGGCTACAGTTTATATGCTTCTTTGCTTCTTCTTTAACGTGCATTTTGTCGCCAAGCACTGACTTTTCTCAAGTTGGCTCATTAATAAAATGTTCCAAAAATTGAATAATTGTATTGATGATAGAATATTGGGATG